AGCGACAGCACCCCGGAGCGCAGCTGCTACTTCGCCATGGAAGGCGTCCATGTGGTCTTCCAGGAGGAGGCCTTCCACATGGCCGTGCACAGCTTCGACGAGAGCAGCCGGCACCTCGACATCGACGACGTGGTCCGTGCCCTCCAGACCGGCGAGCGGGGTGAGTTGGTGGCGGGGCACCCGGCTTGGCTCCTCAGCAGCATTCCCTGGAGGCTGGGGACAGGGACGGGGCGGTGGGAGCACTGGGGTGGGGGGGAAAGGTCCTGCATGAGGGGGGATATCCTTTCACATCCCATCCCGTGGGGGAAACTCGCTGCAGGGCTTCCCTTGACGGCTGGGGACGAGCTGCCCGGAGCCCAAGCAGCGCCCGCAGACCTTCCTTAGAGCTTTGCCTCCCTCGGCAGGGAGGGAGGGAGGGTTCCCCTCGGGGCATAGTAAGAAAACAGCTTTCTGACAGTGGTCTGGGTTACCCAAAGCTTTCAGCATCCGCAGAGCAGCTAATCTGTGGCTTATTCGCTGAGATTTTTGAAGCGACTCTTTGCCAGTTCGAAGTGTTAAGCGGAGCTGTTTCCTTCTCACCTTGCTGTGCCTCGCTGTGGCGATTCTTTCCCTCGGTCCTGCCTTCGGAAGCCCCATCAAGTACTTCATAAAGAGCAAATGCATTTAGGGGAAGCAGGCTTTTTGGGGGGTGGTGTGGATGTGAAACGGCTGAGTGTGTGCGGTAATGTTGCCTCCAACTGTTAGTAAAACAGTTGGAGTTAAATGGCTTGTAAAACATCTTGGGAAGTCACCCCCTGGGCTGGATGAACTTGCTTTGCATCGTGTGGTAGTAAAATACTCGGTGTGCTCGGGGGACGTGCAGATTTGTTGTTAGATGTGTTTTAAAGTGAGGTCACCGAGCAATGCATGGATACATAAGCTTAGCAGAACGGCATTTTCTGTTGAGACTTTTACCAGCCACAGGCTTCCCCAGTAAGTTACAGCAGACGTGGAAAGGTTTATTCCAGGGAGGACACCGCTGTTTTTCTCAGGAGATCTGTCTGTACAAAGCACTTTGTTACGATTTGTCATCCCTGGTTGTAGAATGTAGCATCAAAATCGGACTGATCAGAAGATCACGCCGTGTGACTGGCACAGCGGGTGTTACGGGGCTTGTGCTGCTGTGAGGTCCTTCACGTGTGCAGAAGTGTGTGTGAGGCAACGTGAGCTCCAGTATCAGATGGCTCTGTCATTCGCTCTTCAGCAAAGCAGGTGCTTAAAATAGAGCTCTCCTTGTTAAGTGCTGCTCTGGGAAGTACAGCAAATGGAGAGAAACTGTGTAAGTGCTGGAGGAAACTGCTACGTGGGGAAAGGTGCTTTTCTTTGCTAACCAGCCTAACTTTTGTGTATGTGCTTGGCTTTCCTGAGGCTAAGAGGATATCAGCTTGCTTATAGCAGGAAAACATCAGTGTTCACCCATAGCCAAAGGGAGCTGTGGCTGTGCTGTGGGAACCTGACTGATGGCAAGAGGCAGTCTGCTCTTCAGACTGCTGACAGCCAGGGAATAGAGGCTTGCTTTCCATCTGGGCTTAAATGGTTGGTGAGCAGAGAGAGACCTTTGGCCTTGCATCATTCTGTAATTTGCAAATGACTGAACAAAATCAGCCCTCTGTCTTACTTCTTTCCCCTCCTTTTGCCCTGTGGAGTCCCCTCCCTCCATCTCACCTCTTCATTTGTCCTCTGGCTCACGCTGCTGTTCAAAATGCAGCAAGTGAGGCCTTTCAGCTTCCACTTGTGCCTTTCTGACTTTTAAGACTGACTGCAGGATTTGCCTGGCATTGTTCCTCTGGACCTGAGGGTGGTCTTACTGCTCACAGCATCTTTCAGGTTGTCACAATATTGTAAAAGTCATATGTCGTGAGAAGGATGCACCATGTGCCTCACATGAGTTCTTAATTTCTCCTAGAAACTTGTTGGAGGTCCCTCTCACTGGACTGCAGGCATGTGGGCAACAGGGCACTGTGCAGAGCACTTTTAAGAAACATTTTTGGTTGCCTGGTTTACTAACCAGTTTTTAAGAGCTTCTGTTTCACACCTATGGTGACACTGTCCTGTGCTCTGACTCTATGCCTTCTCTGTTTCCAGGGATTGCTGCTGCTGGTGGTCCCACCGTGAGTGGTTGTGGGCTTTCTACTCTGAGTGGGAGTGGGCTTTCAAGCAGATACATGCTTAGAGCTCTTGCAGCTGTCCCATCAGCTGGCCCCTGGGGACCCAAGGTAGAGCCTGGACCCGTGGGTCACATTGCACCTGGCCTGGAGTTTGCTCTGAGCTCCTGGGGTCTGGGAGGCAGGAGCACACTCAGCCACCCACCCGTGTTTGCCAGTGGCTGCCTCTTCTGTCCCTGGAGCCACTTAAAGAGACTCAAGTCCTGGAGCCACCAAAAATCATATTGAAAAATATTCTGATAAAAGTTAACTACTTTTATTTAATGAAGTTTATTAGTAGTTCCAAGGTCTCTTATAGGCTCAGTTAGCCATGCTGCAGTCTTGAGGCAGTAGGCTCAGGTTTACCATAATGGTCACAAAGCCAGGACTGTGCTTAAGTATGTTCTGCGTAAACACATAGTCCAAGGGATGCACATAGCAAAGGGTGTGATTAGTCCTGCAAGTGGGATTAACCTATTTAAGTGTTTGCAGGATGAGTCAATAATCCTAGTCAATAAATTCAGAATATTAGTATTAGAGTTGCTGTGGTCTGCATGTATTACACTGAAGGGAGAACATTTTGTGTATGTTTGCACGTACACATTTGCATGTACACAATGGTAAGGTAGAGATGCAGATTAAATGCACAGAATTTACTTTTTTGGAAGATAACAGGAGATATGTCCATAGTTTATTTGCTTCAGAATCTTGAAATATGTAATCCTTGCTCTCCTGCTGGGTTAAAAACCACATCCAAATAGTTAATATTACTTCCCTTACATTCCTTTAGAGGCTTACAAAATATGATTTAATGTATTTTAAAGTAGGATTTTTTCCCCACACTTTTTTAAATTCCTTTTGCTCAAGATCTTTTACTGGTGTTGTGGGAATCTCTTTGATTCCATCTACAGATTACAATTTTATGATAGGTATGAATTATAAAAGCAAAGTCAAGGGAGAATTGGGAGCGCAGCAAGGAAAGGTTTCAAAAGGAAATCTCTCACCTATACTGAAATTAGGAACAGTGAGACAAATTCATTCCTGATGTGCATCTGGAAAAGATTTGATCCAAATTTTATTGTAAGAAAATCTTTTTTCCTCTTCTTTCATGCTAATATACTTCACAATGGTCATGAAATATGTCTTGCTCTGTTGCTCTGGAAATTATTATAATACTCTGCTATAATCAGGAGGACAGAGCTATGCATACTATAACTCTCCTGAAATGTGGGGATGTACCAAACGTGACTCACCCCAGCGGTGCATCTGGAGCTTTATGCCTGTGATGGCCTCCAACCAGCAAAGCAGAGGGAGATAATTCATGGTGTGCGAAAAGATTTGGCCTCTTTGGCCTTTTCATTTCTTATAATAGCAAACACTTCTACTCAGAAAAGCTGAATGTGGTTTTGATTCAGTTTTATTGTTGGGGTGAAAATATTTGCCTACATTATCGTAGCTTTTGAGCCCTGCCGTGCGTGACGGTGTTCTTGGAAACGCGTGTGCAGTTGGTTTCAAATCATCGTCCCAACAGGATCTCTTAGGACTTTGCTGTAGGATGTGGCCCTGAAGCATGCTCTGGTGCAGTGCTTTGCTACTCCTCTCATGTTGGTAGCTTCATACTCATAGTCTTGTGAACATATATACAAGTTTGTAGTATAACGTGCTCCGTGTTGGAGGTGTCTCCCTATTGCTGAAGGCCTGGCCTGAGTTCCTGCTTTTCCTTTGCAGAGGGAAAAGGTAGGAAGGGGAATAGTTCCCCCTGCCCAGCAGGTTGAGGAAGAAACCTCTCAACCACAGTTGTCACAGTCTGGATCATGGTGCTCTCATGGAGCACACCTGAGGGCTCATGGGACCTGTTGCAGCAGCAGAGCCCCTGCTTAGCTCTTGATCTGCGCTATGTGAGGCTCTGGCATTTAATCTTGTAACCACCTTTATCCTTCATGCTCACAAAGTGGCACTTGGTTTTCCCATTTTAGAACATCAGGCATCACATCAAAGGATGGGATAAGCCTAGGCTTATTGTACAGTCTGTAGAAAGTTGCATCGTGGAGAGGTGTATCACTGTCCCGAGAGAGGTGACTTGGGGTGGTGTGAATCAGCTGCAGAGGTGCTGCTTTTCACTTTTGGAGGGAAGCAGCAAATTCTAATCCAGATGCCCAAATTTTAGATGACTGAGGTGTAGGTGAGATGAACCTACAACAAATCGTTCAGTGGAATGGAAATTAAAATGGTAATGTCAATGTATGACCTGAAGTCTTCACTTGGGATTGCCTTATGTCCCCTTAGAAGGCTTACAGTTGTCATTGCCTCTACAAATATATGCAGTTGAAGGAATTTGAAGCCAAACCTTATCACATATTGCAGAGGTAAAAAAACCCACTTAGTTCTCCCTCAGGCCCTATTTAATTATTTTCAGAAGATACAGAGGAGGAGGAAGCCTCTCTGTGTTTGGTACCTGCCTTCTCTCAGCTGTTTGGGAAGTCAGCTTTGTTTGCTGTCTGTGTTGTTGTGTTCCTTACGACATTGGGAGGACAGCTTGGGTCACTGTCTCTTGCAGCATTCATGTTTAACAGGCTGTTCCCTGAAGTTCTTAAACTGCTTCTTATCTGTGTTTTCCACTTTCTTCCACCAGTTGTAATAATGTGTGCCAGCGGTGACACAATCAGGAACATCATGTTGGCAGCTCATCGACAGGGAATGACCAATGGGGACTATGCTTTCTTCAATATTGAACTCTTCAACAGCTCATCATATGGTAATGTTTTCCCTGCCCAAGAATGTTGCAAAGTCTTCTGTAAGCCAGTTAATATTTTTAGATTTGCTAGCCTCAAATCGCACCTCACCAAGTCCCGGAATACACCAGTGTCTCTCCCTGTTGTTGCAGTTGCCTTCCACGTGGGCTGTGGTAGTACTGCAGGAAATAAAAGATCTCATGGCTATAGTTGCCACTGGGTAGACCTTGAGATGCCAAATACACTCTGGGTGTTAGTTGTGTAGTTACTTGAATGGGGAGCAATACCAGGCAGAGACATGAGTTATAGCAGCCAGGTGTGGGTGCCCCATGCCAGAGCATGGGTGCTCAGCTCTGGGTTTCTTGCACCATCCCCAGCCTTGACAAACCTCAGGGCAGGGGTATTCCTGGCTCCCTGGTGGGCTGCCATACATTTGGATGTCTGGAAGGAAGTGCTAACATTAGCTGGAGCTGTGGCAACTCCTGGGCCTGGGTCTCCAGAAGGAATCTCTGTGCTGGGGGTTCCACATAATCTAATTTTTTCAGCTTTTGATCGTGGCCTGCATCTGCAGAAATATTAAGCAGTGCTATGTTGAAAAGAAAGTCCTGGATCGACGTGGACAGTCCAAGTGTACTGGAGTAGAGTGGATAAAGGTGGCTGATTTCATCCCTAAGTAAAAAGGGTCATATTTGTCAAATTAAGCTCTAATTTTAGAACGTAAATTAAACATATTTTCTTTTTGAAATATGCCAGCGTTCAGTTACACTTGTTCTTATGGCAGAGGGTAAACCTGCTTTTAGCTGCTACAGCTGCCTCAGGTAAATTCAAAATAATACTGGAGCAATGCATTTGCCGGGTTTTAAACCGTGTAAGATTGTGAAGCTGAGGGAAGTTCCTACCTCGAAACTAGATTTCTTTAAGTATCAACATGGCATTTGAAAGGAACAGCATTTTTTGCAGGAGCAACCTCTTTTGCTGGCTGCCTTTAACTAACCCACTATAAAACCAAATTAATTTTAAATTGAAAACCAAGTGGGAGTTAAAAAAGAAGGAAAACCTGGTGTTTTTTTCTTTCAAGCTTAAAAAAATTGATGGACAGGAACAACTGAAATTGAAAGGATGATATATTTTGTTTAATAAATCAGTTAATTGTAGGTTAAATTCTTTTACATAAACTTTGTTGTCCATTTGCTGAGATTATTTTTGCAGTAAACCGTGCTGTTTGTTGAAAAGCTCTATAATAAATGTCTGTAGCTGTTCAAATTTGGAGATACAGGTACAACTACATGTATCTCCTAAGCTAATTAAAGAAGTGCCAAGTTCTGCCAGGTAATATGGAAATCACTTGAATAACTGAAAGATAAAGTTGCAGAACAAGCTTAAAGCTGATGGTTCAAATTAAGTTCTTCTTTGTGCCGAGTCTTGAATTTGGAGCGACTTCATTCCTTGTGGAATAAGCAAAACTGTTTGGTGTTGCAGCCTTCATTAGGACCAGTGCAAAAAGCTGAAGGTCTACTCGTATCAGAAGTAACAATATCCAGAAATTTTGGCCCATCTTTAAGCCATGGGAGCTTTGCAGGCTTGACTACTAGAAAAAGCTGATCTTGAAACCCCTCTGGCTACTGGCAGTGGCTCAGTCCTGCTGGCTTTTTTCTCCCTGAGTTGAAATGCATCAGAATTGATTTATCTGGCCATAGCACCCTTTGGAGTCACAGGAGAGAAACAGACACTCCTGGACAGTGACTCCCCTTATCCTTAGGTGTTTGCAGTGGTCAGAGGAATCATCCCCTACAGTGGATGGCTTCCCTGTCTTGCCTGGAATGAGCGCTGGGAAGCACTGAAGCCGTCTGGGACCGAATTTTTCCTGGAGCAGGGGATGCTCACAGCAGCTGCAGCAGGTGGGCTGCTGCGTTCTGTAATGGTTTAGCTTTCCAGGATGGTGTTTGCTAGGAGGTAATGTCAGCTGCAGGAGGTAACGTTGCAACCCCCAGGCTCAGCACCCTGCCCCACCTCACAGCTGGTGTGGGGTGGATCTTTCCAGTGGTACATCCCCCAGAAGACAGCACATTGTTCAGCAGTGTGCAGGGCAATGCTGTGCCACCCTGGTGTGGGAGCTCTGTGCAGCACAGTGATGGGGTCCAAACCTACCCGGTTGCGTGGGAGTCTCAGCAGAATCCTCATTTGCGTTGCAGGTAGTCCAGCCTTCTTGTAGGCTTTCCAAGGGATTAATGAAAGCTGTTTGTCTTCTGTTGTGGTTAAAATGTTAGAATGTAGCATTTCCTGACATTGCTAAGTAATAATTCTTTTAAATTAATTTTTCTGTTCCTTTGTGGGTGTGTTTTCCATGAAGAGTGAAATGACTGCATCCGAAGCTTACTTTTGTGCAGATGGTCATCACATGTGGAAAGCAAGCATAATAGAGAAATGTAGATAAATTCCTTCAAAATTCCTTGTTCCCAGTGTCTGGAGATACTAGTTTTTGTGCCTTATGAAAGGTACAAAATCTAGGAGTAGATGTGATTGGCAAATTGGCACTTGGCCTTTAAGTTCAGGTGACCATATTGCAGTTTGTTTTTGCCCTCTGTTCTGAATATTTTGAGCTTTTCTGAAGAGCAGGCATATTAAATGCCAAGGCTGCAGTAATTGCACATAAGTACTGTGGCAAGACGACCTCCCACAAAACAATCCATGAAGGAATTTAAATATGTAAATTATTCTAGGAATGTTGTTATGCAAGTGTATGTCAGGATTTTTAAAAACAAATATGTGTAGTGTCCAGGACAGAAACTTACTAACATTCTGCCAGCACTACCATATTTTTGTCTGTAATACTACTCTTTTTAGCCCTCTCAATTTGTAAACATAAAGCTATAGCAAAGTCCCTTGTGCCATAGTTTCTGCCATACTTCTTGAACACTGTTCCTCTGAAATGCAGGTACCCATCTGGGGCAGAGGCTTCTCAGCTTTGAGGCTCTATCCACTTGTGGGGAAGCCACAAAGCTAGCTAGCTAGCTTAAAATTGCCAGATGTGCATGTCTTCCTTTTTGAAAACAGTGCCAAGAACGAGGTGCAGGCACTGAAGGGAAGAGTGCTACCTCTGAAGGCAAAACCAGATGATAAGATGTGAGTTGGTCTCCAGTTTTTCCATCAGGTCTGACGGTTAGGGTCATGACCTTGTTAATTTTGACCAGTTAAACTTTGTAGTCGGAGAGAATTCCCTAAATCAAGGCAGGTGTATCTAGAGCTTCTTCCTAAGAGAATGAAATAACTTTTTAAAAAAATAAAATAATTAAGAATTAGCAAGGTTCATGGTATTTATAAAGATTACAGTCCTAGCAGTCCTAGCTGGTACTGAGCTGTAGTAAATAGAGCTTTGCTGGGCTGGAAAAGAGAGGTAAGTTCTCAGGTGGTCCTGTGTGTCCCACCCTGTGCTTGGAGAGACAAGCTGCCCTGGAACCAAAAGCAGCAGGAGGATAGACCTGTCATCCAGACAAGTGCAGATCCTTAGTTTCTTCCCCTGTACTCATTGAGGAAGTAGAGCCATTTTCCAGTTACATTTTTTTAAAAAGTCCCAGCAGCAGTGCTGAGGTAGTGGGAGGACAAATTTCAGGCTAAGTATTTACTTGCTATGGGCAGACCTAGCTGGTCCAACCAGGTTGCCTTGTGAGCTTAGCATTAGTCTTTGTCTTATTTAGCCATGATGGGGTTTGCTCCTGTTTCTTGAAAAACAGAATGACTGTCTAGCTTTTATTTAGTTGTAAGAATTTAAAGGGTCATTGCTTAGGGCTACCACTGTTTCCACTAGGCCTCTTCTATTTATTATTTATGGACAATAGCACAAAACCTAGTCCGGGGGAATGTGAACCTTTGCACTGATCTTGTGAAGCTTTGGTTCAGGGTCTTAGGACCTGCTAAGGTCAGGACCTTTTAGGCAGAAGGACTCTGCTGCCAATTAACAAGCCAGCCAGCTATTCTGCTTTTTAAAAATCTGATTACTGTACTGGTGGTCTGAGTTAAATTCTTCCCCTGCTACGACACAAAACGTGTAAATACAGCATATATGCAGGATCCCATTTTATTTCTAAGTGTTCCTTTTCCACTAGGAGCAGGGCTGGCCTGGCAGCCACTGTAGTCATGGTTTTCTCCTTGGCTGCAGTGGGAGAGCCGTGGGAGAAGCAGCTGCACCATCTGCCTCCCATTCAGGGTGATGATTGTACTATTGACTTTACTGATGCCTTTCTGACTGTCCAAGAGTGTCACTGGTGGAGTGATGCGTAACAAAAAATTTGTGGTTGAATCCTCCCTAACTTGTTCAAGTGTGTATATATATATATATCTGCTTTTGAGATCTGGCACGTGTTTTTAGCTTGGAGGTGTCTTCTCATGCTTAGGCTTCATCCCACCCTTTAAAAATAAGCAAGCACAGCATGGGAGTGAAATTGTTCTGTTTGCATATTTACATCCCACCAGCCATTCCTCCCTGCCTGGTTTCCTGCACATCATTCCTGAACCTGCAGGTTCAGCTCTCCCTTGTGCTCTGTCATCTCCCCAAGGTGCAGGGGAGGGCACTTCTGGGTGGAGAAGGAAGGCAGTCCTGTAATGGTACCAAATTTGGAGTTGAAAATATGCTTGTTTTCCCCTTAGGAAATGGCTCTTGGAGAAGAGGTGACCAACATGACCTCGAAGCCAAGAAGGCATACTCTTACCTCCAAACCATCACTCTGCTGAGGACCGTGAAGCCTGAGTTTGAGAAGTTTTCTCTGGAGCTGAAAAGTTCAGTTCAGAAGCAAGGTCTGCATGAGGATGACTATGTAAGTACTTGATGATGGGTTTTAGGTCTCAGCATCTTCAAAAACATACTCCTAACTAGAGCAAAAATAGCAGTGAGACTTTATCAGGATGGAATTACCTGGATTCAGTTGTAAAATCCCACTGTTGCCTGTATTATCTCTCTTTTTTAAAAAATTTCTTTTGTTCGTTTGTTTTCTGGATAATGCAACTAGCATGAGTAGACTTGGTCTGGGTGCACAAGGTCTGTGCACCACCATCCATGACTGATTGTCCTGTTCTCAGTGCCAGGTCTGTCTCCCTTCTCCACTAACCCCTTGCTTTTTTTTGACAAGCAAAGAGATGTATTATTTTTTTTTTTTCCAATTTTTTTTTTTTTTTGGTAGAATTGGTTCTCAGAAAATTTACATTCTCTGTGTTGCATCTGATTAAATTTTTCCTGATACAAATGGGAAAAGCAATCTTGTTTCCCAACTAGAGAATATTTAGGTTGTTGCTATTCTTTATTTTAAACTGTCTAAAATACTGGTATAGTCCTTGCAAGTTGCTTTAAGCATAGGGGAGTGCCTAAGAGTTGGAGGTGGAAGAAGTCTGTCTTTTTTTAATCTCTCCACATGTGGGAGTATGGTACCTCTGAAAGTTGCTTTTGAGCTACTGTGAAGCTGCCTCATTAGGTGTTTTCAGAGAAAAATCCTCTGTAAAAGCAAGAACGTATAGCACATACCTGTAGGGATTTCTGCATGCTGATCTACATTCTTTTAGACAGTTAGCCTTCCCCATCATGGGAAGTGAACTTCCCAGATATGGTTACAAAGAAGAGAGACTTGAATGGAGTTTGGTCAGTTGTTAGCTGTAGGAGAAGAGGCCTAGGAATTAATCCCTGAAACTCAAGAAAGCAACCCAAACCCCTCATTTGCCAGCTCCCGCTTAAGAAGCTATTTCCTTAAAGCATTGGTCCCTCACAGGTGGAGGCATCATCTTTAGTTCAAAGCACAAGCTGATAAACTCAAATATTGTGTTAATAAGTGACGTTTCCTGCAATTTATTGCATAACCTCCTCTGCCTTCAGAAAACCTCAGAAAAGCTGTACTTCTTAGAACTTGAATGTATTTTATTTAAATGTTTTACTTAAAATGTTGAGTTTGAATCACATCAGTGGTTTATATTTTTCCTGTGAAACTTTCACAGTCCAGGTAGGCAGAAGTGGTCTTCTGTTGGCATTCTTTGCCTTGTGTTAGTGGAGAAACCCCAACTGCCAAGTTCAAGGATCTGCTCTCTGAAGAACCTGCTAAATGAGTTTTGAAGAGAGACTGTAATTTCTGCTGTTCTTCCCCTTTCCCTCTATGTGCCCTTTTACAGGTGTCTCTTAGCAAGTCTGAGAATCTGCCAGGTGTTCTTGGCTGTGGTTGGTGAGAAATCTGATTTTGAGTATTAAAGATGCAGTCATCCACAGTTTTGTGGCTTTTCTAGTCTGGGCAGTGTGACATTGCCCTAGATGAGAAAACTGTTAATCTGCCTAGAGTTCAGGATGCTTTCTGTGTGTGGTTTGGAGGCAGGCAGGGGGATGCTTTGCAGTTCTTTAGGATGGGACCCACTGCAAACTCTGTGCAAGTTCAGCATTGATGGACACTGGATAGGTGCAAGCCCTGGTATGGTCAAGCAGAAGTGGGTCCATGAAAGAGTAAATCCTCCCCATGCTGGCACGGAGGAAATTTTGCAGGCTACTGTGTTTGTTGGAGAGGCTCTGTGCAGAGCTGTGTACTCATTGCCATAGGTCCTCTTTTCTCTTTCCTCACTCCATGGTTGCTTGTGCAATCAGCCGTCTGTGCTGGCAGTGCTCCTGGCCGTAACAGCTGCATGAGTGCCTGGCTCCTTACTGCCCCATCTTTCACCTTCTGCCTCTCCCTCTATCCCTTGCCTACCTGTGATCCAGAGCTTTTCATCCTGCTCCAAACACTCGCTCACCCAAAAATGTCAGCCTTTGCATGGGGCCCCTCTTGCTGCTGCCTCTTCTACTCCTCATCCTGCTCTTACTTTCCCAGTTTTCTGCACCCTTCCAGTCCCTTCTTGTCAGGGCAGAGGGAGCACTTCTGATCTGTGTGTACCTACCACAGCTTCCTGTCATCTGAAACATCAGTCCTTGTCTCATGGAGAGCTCGTGGGAGAGGCCACAGAGATTTGGGGCTTCCTGTGGAGGAGCTATGGATCATGGGTATGGTGGAAGGAGGTTTGGCTTCAAATGCTGAGTGTCCTGGTGTTACATGGATACATAACTTACACAGATCTCAGCAGAGCCTCCTCTGACTGCTTTCTCACAACCTCCTATACCATTGGGAAAATAAAACAGCCTGAAGAGTGGTACCCTTGAGTTTAGCATGGAAAAAAAAACCAATAGCTGTGTCACTTTGTTAACAGTGTGTAAATTTGAAGTATCTTGTTTGCTTTTCATCATTTGTGATGAATTTTACATTTCCCCACTTTGGACAGTGGAAAACATGCTTCATATTCCTTTATCTGGTGACCCTGCTGCCACACTTAGAGGAGAAAACTTTCAGGGCAGCCTTCAAGCTTTAGAAGAAATATCCATTCTTAAAATGTATGGAGAAAAATAGAAAGACAGACTGACAGTCTGTTCCTTCCTCTCTGAAAGATATGTATGTAGTGGGCAGCTCACTAAAGGTGCTTCTTTTGGCAGCATGAGAAGAAAGTGCCAATTTTGGCCTGGGTGTGTGCTAAAAAAGGCTGTGACCTCCACGGGACAAGCTTGGGAGGGAGATGAGTGTCTGGGAAGCAACAGAGATGGATTTTTCTCTGCTGGATCCTGCTCCTGAAAACAAAAACCATGGAGAAAGATAGTTGGTGGTACAGTCCATCTTAAGTCCAGTCTACTGGTGTTAGAACATAGTCTTCATCCTTTTCTGCAAGCTGTGTTCCAAGAGGGTGAACTTAGGGAGGTTTGAATTTGAAACAGTTGATGTTTCTTCTCTGTGTGGATTTTACCAGTGTAATGGGGAAAAACAGGGGCCCCAAGTCAGTGGACTAAGTTATCTTGCAGTGATTCTAACTCAAACAAAACTTGTTAGTGCTGCCATTTTGTCCTGGCCTCTTGCCAGCACTAATCCTAAAGGGATTATTATCTAACAGAAAAGAGTATCATAAAAATGGAAACTAAGCAGATGACAAAAGGAAAGATAATGGAGACAGAAAGGGCAAAGCAGCAGCTGTCCAATTGCCAGATGGAGAACACATATGGCCCTTGAAGTAGTAACAGGTCAAAGAGTGTTGGCCATCTTCATCTCCAGCTGTGAAATCACACAGAAAAGAGAAAAACATGTTCTGGGTACATCTTTCCCAAGTCAGAAATTGCTGTTGCTTCTGTATGAGAGTTATGCTGTGGAAGTGAGGGAGGTGGAAGAACCTGTGCCTTGTGAGTGAGCAGGAGAGTGTGGAAAAGGCAAGTTCTCTGACTCCTCCAGGAATCTCTCCTGTGAAGGAAAAGCTTCCTTAAGCACCTTTTAACCAGATGGCATAAAAAATAAGAGTGAGGCTCTGATAAGGCGTCTTAGAAGTATTAGGGTGGGTAGTAAGTTGCACAGGATGAGGCTAAAAATGATGTTCCCTGTTGCAATGTCACATTGCAACATCCCATTGCAACAGCTGCCTGAGCCCATTAGCAAATATTAGTTTGCTCAGTCACTGCTTTCGGAGCCTGAAAGCAGTTAATGTAACCCAAAGAACTGTGGGCTGAAGCTTCAGATCTGCTCAGCCCTCATTTCAGCATTCAATGCTGTAAAGATTTTTTTTTTTTTCTTTTCAAGAAAAAAGCCTGACCATTTTATTTTGTGCCTAGCTGGAGACTGACTTCTCTGAAAAAAGAATGATTTTTCTTTCAAAAATCAATTCAAATTTGGAGTTCAGGCTTAAGGACAGTGCAGTCGCTTTAATGCTGTTATACAAATTGTAGCAGTTTTCTCTTTTCTGTAGAGTTAATGCATTACCAAGACATTAACAGCAATGTCTCCTGGTCTCTGTGAGCCAGCTGAGATCCTTGGCTTAATTGCAAAATACAGGACAAGCTCTGCTTGCAGACCTATGGCCTAGGTGAAACAGCAACAGGAACTGCATGCGTTTACTTGAAGGAAGAATTTGAAACTGTCTCTGAATAACTGTGAATAATTCCCAACAGAAGCTCCAGTTAAAAAATGTTTATGAATAAATAGAGTTTCAGTTAAAGTATATGCATAAGCCATTTTTATTAAATAATGCCGAACGCTTAATGAATTGGTGGTAGGCTGCAGTTTGGAAGCTCTTAATGCACCTTCTGTTCCTGACTCAGGCCTAGGATTCAATAAATGCTTTTTTAATGTCAGACCCAGTATTCTAAGCTGGGATGATTTTACAGTCTGGGATATTTGCTCTTCTGAGGTTACAGACCACCCATGGCTTGTTTTTTCTTCTCATTTAAAAGCTGAAAATGGAGCTAATTAAACAAATATTTCTGCTGTGTTTGCTACATGACAGCATTGTTTGCAAGGTGGATGCATGGGTTTTACCCTCCCCGCAGCCCTTTTCACATCGAAAATGAGCAGCAGGAGAAGAGAACTGGAGCCCAATTTGCCTGCAAAGCTATCTCAGTGAAAGAATGAGCAACACAGATTAATTGGATTAGCGAGATGCTCCTACCCATTAGAAAAGGACAAGTCTGATTTAGCATTCTCAGCCCTTTGAAATGAGAAGTGGTCCACATAAAGAGCAACTGTTAGAGCTCCAACAGTTAACTACAAAAGCTACGTGGGAGGTAGTTGTGCTCATAAACTTTATCATCTCATCCATAACATCCGTGCCAGACTCTTCCCTGTGTGTATTCCTTACGTCAGCCTTTTAATTAGGATTGTAGACCAGCTAAGATAAGGGTTGGGAGAAGTGAGTGATTCAGTCATGTTGCTGAGACACTGAAAATGTAACATATTCAGCAGTGTATGTCCCAGTAGTCTTTTTTCAGGCACAGGCAAGAAAGATTGAT